ACCCCAAACCCTAAGTGTAAATTTTCAACGCTACATGCAGTCCCCGTATGTAGACTAATGTTGTTCAAGTGCAGTAAACTTAAAGGAGAAAGCTGAACTATTGTACTTGAAAATGAATCTAAGAGATTGTTAGAAGATAAATCAATGAAGAAGAATGATTGATCATTTATTTAGCAGTTAACAATACTTCCAAATAACATATTATTGAAGAGATCAAGATATCCGAAAGATTTTAAATTACATAGCAACTTTGGAATATTTCTAGATAACATATTGCTTGACAGATCAAGTGCTAACAAATATCTTAAATTGCATAGTGACTTTGAAGTTGAACCATTCATGAGGTTATTTGTAAGGTATAATCCCTCCAGCATTTGCATCATATGACCTATTTTTTTTGGAAGAGGACTTGAGATACTAGCAATAGAGAGATCAACCATGTTTATTGTCTTTGGTAATTGAAGCCATTTAAGAAATCCTATTCCAAATTGATTGCTCAAAAGATCTATTTTCTCTAACTTAGTAAGTTACCCGATGCTATCTAGAATACTCCTCAATTGATTCTCAGAAAGATACATGATCTTTAACTTAGAAAGTTACCCGATACTATCTGGAATACTCCTCAATTTATACTCCTCAATTGATTATGAGAAAGATCCATGATCTCTAACTTACAAAGTTGTCCTATGCTATATGGAATACTCCTCAATTGATTCTTAGAAAGATCCATGTGCTGTAACTCAAAAAGTTGCCCGATGCTATCTGGAATACTCCTCAATTGATTCTTAGAAAGATGCATGTACTGTAAGTTAGAAAGTTGCCCCATACTATCTGGAATACTCCTCAATTGATTCTCAGAAAGATCCATGCTCCATAACCCAGAAAGTTGCTCGATGCAGTCTGGAATACTACTCAGTTGATTCCTAGAAAGATGCATTACCTTTAACTCAGAAAGTTGCCCGATGCTGTCTGGAATACTCCTCAGTTGATTCCCAGAAAGATCCATCTGCCTTAACTCAGAAAGTTGCCCAATGCTGTCTGGAATACTCCTCAGTTGATTCCTAGAAAGATTCATGCTCCATAACTCAAAAAGTTGCCCGATGCTGTCTGGAATACTCCTCAGTTGATTCCTAGAAAGATCCATGCTCTCTAACTTAGAAAGTTGCCCGATGCTGTCTGGAATACTCCTCAGTTGATTCCCAGAAAGATCCATGC